GTTATGGGCTGGAGGATGGAGGGGAACTCTTGCTCTTGGTGAGCCTCTAGCTTTAAGAGCAAAGTTGTACACATGCACAAATCATGAATGGTGAGGCATATTCTGAAACACATTACCACACACAAAAATTTTGTTTGTGGACAAATTTCAAGGGCTTGGCACATAGTAGGTGCTCAATAAATGTCTGTTGAATGAATATGGTGAGTACCATCTACACATTAAGGATTGAGTAATGGGGCCATCAAAGCCTGGTGGCCAGTTGTACAAAGCTTTGTGGTCAAATGGGGTGGGGTCACACGAAGTAGACCGGGAAGTGGCCATTCCTGAGGGTGGGGTGGGAAGAATGATGCTCCTTGCTGAGGTCTGAAGGAGTGAAGTAAGAGAAATGTGTTATTGTCCAAAGAGAGCCAGTCAGTGAAGGCAAGGATCCAGAAAGCCTGGGGCAGAGCAGATGGGGTGTATGCCAGGTTGGGGGTGGAAGAAAGGGTAGGAATGGGAGGGGATTTTTATGGGGAGAAAGAGTTGTGTGGTCTTAGATGATTACTCTTGAGACCCACTGGCAGGAAGGGAAGGAAGCTGGTGGGTGCAGTTGGGAAGAATGAGAGGATGAAAAGATAGAAGGAGGTGGAGAGGGGTGGAGGGCAAGTGGATGAAGATCCAGAGGAGAATGGTGTGGTGGCAACACTTCAGCAGAAATGGATGAGGGGGGAAGGAGGAGGAGAGGAAGGCAGGAGAAGAGAGGAGGGAGGAGGAGGAGGAGGATGAAGATGGTGATGACAATGAGGAATACAAGGAAATTGATGATGAGGAGGAGAGTGTTGTTCTGGAAAGATACAGCATGAGTTTGGAATCTTGACCAGTCTGTAGAGGGGAAACCAGCCCAGATGTCTGGTGATGTGGTCTCACAGGCAGGAGAGTGGTTAGGGAATGAGGCTCAGCAGGCTGAGCTCCAAGGGTTGGGCACCCATTCTTCTGACCCTTTGGCCAAAGATACTCCCTTTGTTGTATTCTGATGGATGCTTAGCCAGTGCCCTTGACAGGGGAAGGATGAGAAACGAGGTTCTGATGTGGAATGCCCCCCCAACTTGCCTCACATATGCAGAGGCTAGACCTGAGGTTAGTTCTCTCACTCAAGAATCCTGCTAGTATGTACATATCCTACTTCCACCAATTTGGAAGCCTCACTGGTACTGGCTTCTCTTTCTGCTCATAGATGGAAAGGACACACCCAACAGGTGGTGCTTAGGGCCCTCTAGTTGTAGAGCCCATGGGCTACTTCAGTCTAAACTCCCACTAGTGTTTCAGGGATGACACCGAGACACTGTTTCCTGAGCCTTGGTCTTTGCTGGATGGAGGTCTTTCTCTCTGTCTTTGTTGTCTCTATCCCTGTTTCTACCTCATGTCTCTCTCTCATCAACCATAGAAGTTCACAATCCTTCTTTCAAGGACCCTCAGCCTTCCTGGCTTTTATCCTTGGCTCTGTCTCTCTGCTACCCATTCTCTGAGTCATCTCCAGGCTTCTGCCTTGTGAAAACCCATTCTTGCCCTCCCCAGAGATCCTCTTTATCCCTTCCTAGAAGGACACCACAGTCTACACCCTCCACGTTTCCTCACCATGGTGATTCCATTTTCCCTGACATGTGAGAGTCCCAGAGTCTGTGTTTCTTTCTGTGTAGTCTCCCCTTCCCAGTCAGCACACGTTCAGGGTTTGCCTGCTATGGCATATCAATCAACCTCAGAGTCCCAAGATGTCCCATCTTCAAGGCACATCTGGTCCCTGCTACTTTCCATCTTGAGGATCTGTCTCATACCTGATATTTCCTCAGAAGCAGAATGGACTGAAGTGGGCTTTGAGTAAGGACTTCATAAGATGAAAACGGTCGATTTGCTGTCACCACAAGGCCCATTTGTCCACCTGGGCTGGAAGAACAGGCCATACCACTTGGGCCCACTGTTTCTCCACACTCAAGGTGGCCAGTCCAGAGGGGGCTTTATTTAATATAAAGATTCCTAAAGTAAAGAGTTAATGTCTTTCTTTCTGTGGTTTGGCTACTTATTCTTCCCCAGGAAGTTCTTCCTCAACCCTAGCTTTCAGCCAGTCAGTGAGGGCTTGCCTGCCCTTGCTTCTTTTGCAGTTCTAATGTATTAGGGCAGACTTCCAAGGACAATCACCAACAACCCCATGGGGTGTCTGGCTACCACCCAATCAGGAGGTTTGGGGATTAGAATGACAAAACAAAACAAGATACACAGCTGGATGTTGATTGATTTATGACCAATGATTTCTTTTTTTCAAAATAATATTTATTTTTTGTACCTATATTATTTCCCCTTCCCTTCCTTCCATCCAAACCCTCCTGTGCACCCCGACTCCCTGCAAATTCATGGTCTCTTTTCTGTAATTGTTGTTACACATATATGTATATACACACACACATACACATTCATAAGTGCAAGAATGAGGCCCGCTCAGTCCATATAATGTTACTTGCATGTATGTTTTCAGGGATGACCATTGGGTATTAGATAATCAATTGGTGGCCCTTTCCCAGAAAAGATTATCCACCCCACTTTCAGCTTTCCTTAGTTGCCTGTAATTCTTTGTCTAGGTTTGAGGACTTGTGAGACTTCCTCTGTCTACATTAATGTGTTTGTTGGTGTCTTCCTTCTTCAGCTTGTGTTTGGGCATCCATGCTAGTGAGACTTTATGTACCCTCTGATGTTTCTAGGAGATACAATCTCCCAGCAAATTTCCTATTCCTCTGGCTCTTCTAATCTTTCTGTCCCATCTTCCCCATGATCTCTGAACCTTAGGGGCAGAGTTTGTTGTAGATGTATCAGTTGTGACAGTAATCCACAACTCTGAATTTTGCTTGGTGTGTGGTTAACAATATCTGATGCTCTTCTAAGACCAAATAAAAATGCAAATTTTTGAACTGTTTTCCAATTAATGATGCTTTAGATCATTTGATCTTTTTTCCACTTAGAGCTGCTGCTAAGGATTGGCCAAGATGAGGGCTTGTGAGCAGACCTTTCCTGCAGCATTTGGGCTGGACTTGAGAGGAGATGAACACTTAGGCTCTTTCCCAGGGCAAAGGTCATAGCCTTTTCTTCTCCTGGGATAGGCTCATACGGTAGAACAATAGTGCACCCAATAATAACAGAACTTTCTATGGGCCAGTTACTATATTAAATATTATCCATGTATTATTTTATTCAATTCTCTCACTACTCTTTCAAGCTAGACCACATTATTGATAATTGAACATAAATAGTTTGGGAAGGTGAGTGAGTATACCCCATCAAAGCTGTCAATACACCCACAACAGCAACAGCACCACAACAACAACCCACATCTATTTGTGCTCGGAGTGTATCAGGCTCAGTCCCAAGTGCTTACCATAGATTATTTCTTTAATCCTTACAACAACTTTACGAGGTGTGTGCTGGTATCATCATCGTTTTACAAACCATAATGGAGGCTCAGAGACATTCAGTAGCTGCCCAATGTTACCCAGTAGCGTGGTGGAGCTAGGATTTGAAACTAGTCACTTTGGAATCCGGATCTGTGTCCTCAACTGGTATAACACGTATTTCTACTTTTTAAGAACTGCAGCTCCAGAAGGAACAATTTTATGCAATTACAGAATAAACACAAACCACAGACAACTGAACCAGAAGGCCAGAGCTCAGTGGTGATGCAAGCAAAGCAATGATGTCCTCTGTTCTGCTCTGGATGGTTTTCTTCTAGTCTGCTCTGTGACTGAAAAATGATGGTTATTCCCATTAGTAGGTATCAACATGAGCTCTGGGAAAGCACTGCCTGGAGCAATGGGAAAGGACTGGGATGCAGCCTACCACATTGTACTCTGGAGTTTACTGAGCCTATACACACCTCTTTACACTTCCAAGACAGCCAGAGGAGCAAAGCCTAGCACTTTCTAGGAGAGGGAAGCATCTGCTTCCAGAACATGCGGAGCTAGTCTGGGCAGAACTCTGGCCCTACACAACTCTTGTGAGTTCAAAGTTTATACTGGATGGACAGCACCATATGGTATAGTTGTGTTTTAATGCCAATAGAAGCTACTGGCAAGCTGATGTGCAAAGCAGAAGGTCATGGGAGTTGTTATGGTGTGGAAAGCATCAAGTGTCAGTTGGGGGTTGTATGTTCTATTCATGCCACCTTATTGAATTTTATACTCTGAGCCAATTACTATGTAGACACATAACAGTAAGGCCACCCCCTGCCTTGGATGACATAGGATCCTGAGGTGAAATGAAAACATTCCAATGCCTGTTTTAGGCCTTTCTGCAAAATGTTGGGCTTTGCTTGGGCCATTGAGCCAGTATGTATCCTTAGGCTTTGGGAGAAGATACTCTCTTGGTCTAGGCCAGTCAAGATGGCCCAGGGATAGTCTGTGTCCATAGAGAGATAGATAGATGAGAGTGGGTGTGTGTGTGGTGTTTGCCTATCAGGCAAACAGAGGCATGAAGCCTATGAGTGTGTGTGTGAAGGACAGCATGATGAGGGAAGGGAGGAAGAGTCAGTGGTGCCAGGGATGGGAGGAATCCCACTTAGCATACCAGTTCCATGCCACCTTCTTTCCTAGCCTGGCCGAGTCAGGACCATGGACAGTGGTGTTGAGTTCTCCCCCCCCCCCCCCCATTCAGCCCATTAGAGTTACAGCTCAGTCCTGTCTCCATTTTCCTTGCAACCTGAATCACTTATCCTGTCTCTCCACCTCTGTTTCTGAGTATTGGGCACATGAGCAGAGAACGGATGAGGTGAGCTGGTCCTTTGAAGAAGAAAATTGTACAGTTTAGGGTAAAGGACCATAAACATCTGGCTGCAATGGGCACCAATTAAGCACACTTAAGAAGGAGCCACAACAGCTAAACAAGCCAAGCTCATAAAGGCAGCTAATTGCTTCAGATCACGTGGTCACAGTCAAGGCCCCCACATATATAAAAGGCCAACGAAATCTAAAGAGGTAAACACCCAAATCCACGTCCACTGTTCCTCCACTTGGACGTCTCCAGTCTCATAGTATCCCTTCTCCCCAGATAACCATGACTTGTGGATCCTACTGTGGTGGCCGAGCCTTCAGCTGCGCCTCAGCCTGCGGGCCCAGGCCAGGCCGCTGCTGCATCTCTGCAGCCCCCTACCGCGGCATCTCCTGCTACCGTGGACTCTCCGGGGGCTTCGGCAGCCACAGCGTCTGTGGGGCCTTCCGCTCCGGCTCCTGTGGAAGAAGCTTCGGATACCGCTCTGGAGGAGTCTGTGGGCCCACACCCCCCTGCATCACCAGTGTCTCTGTCAATGAGAGCCTGCTCACACCCCTCAACCTGGAGATCGACCCCAATGCTCAGTGTGTGAAGCATGAGGAGAAGGAACAGATCAAGTGCCTCAACAGCAAGTTCGCAGCCTTCATCGACAAGGTGGGTGTCCTGCACCAGCCCCTTCCTGGAGCCCACCATATGCATGGCCAAGGCTGGACATGAGGAGGACAGGTGGCAGAAAGACCTCTCATATTGATCCCCTAATCTCAGGGGACAGGTGTGTCCAGATGGGCACACTGAGGACCCGCAGGGCTATCTGCCAGTCCCGAGAAGCAGGGCTCATGGCCAGACTGCCTTGGGCACAAGCTCACAGCAGGGAGTCCCAGGGGCCTGCAGCATGGAGCTGTGGGCAGCCCAAGGAGGAAGGCTGCACTCCAGCTGAGAGGAAGGGAGGCAGACTGCTGGGGGAGGGCCAGAGGTCAGCCTAGTTAGCTCCTCCAGATGGCCTGTGACACTATCTCCCAGGATCCCTGGCAGCCCCTCCTTCTGGGACGTGAATGTGGGTGCTCTGCCTGTTGGGAGTCCTGCCTTCCTGGCTTCAGAGGATAGTACCAAGCCCAGCACAGGACACTGAAGTGGCCAGCTGGGTCTGTCCCTCGTATTCTCCCTAAATGGAAAAGCTGAGGCAGGGCCAAGATAAGGGAATGGAGAGTTGGGCTCCTTCCCAGAGCTCTCCACCTCCTCACCACCACCACCCCAGATCTGCCCCTGAACCCCTTCCCTCTCCCATGGCAGGTGCGCTTCCTGGAGCAGCAGAACAAGCTGCTGGAGACCAAGTGGCAGTTCTACCAGAACCGCAAGTGCTGCGAGAGCAACGTGGAGCCCCTGTTTGAGGGCTACATCGAGACCCTGAGGAGGGAGGCTGAGTGTGTGGAGGCTGACAGTGGGCGGCTGGCTGCTGAGCTCAACCATGCGCAGGAGGCCATGGAGGGCTACAAGAAGAGGTGAAACTGTCCTGCTGTTGTGCTGGCATAAGATGTGCCTAGTATCAAAAGTCAGGACACAGACAGCAAAAGTCTAGTCAGGTTGAGGACATTGTGGGATCCTGCTGTGAAATGTCTGCACAGATGCTCCCTGGATAGGATTGAAGAGTGCCTGATTGAACTATTTCTGCCTCAGCCTTCCCACTGGAGACTGAGACCAACAACTCTACCTTCTCTGGGAAAGGACAGACCTAGGACCCCCATATACTCTTTTTGACTTTGATCCCCTGCACTGAGCAGAGAAGCAGGAGGGCCAGGCCCACGCTCCTGTCTCACTCTCCCTGCCTTCGGACTCAGCCCTGTGGCTCTTGCTCTACTCAGCAGCTGGGCTGGGGCTGGCACACCAGTGAGGGGAGGTTGGAGATGCAGTACCCAAGACCTGTCCACTCCCAGATGAAGTTGGGGTCAGATTCCTCCCTGTGGTGGCATCAGAACAGCTATGGCATGTTTCCTTACAGCCCAATTCCACTCCCAGATAGCTCAGCTTCCTCCAGAAAGACCTGGTAGGCCAAGAGTGGCAAGGGCTTCTCTCCTGCACTCCCTGGCATGGAGCGAAGCCTTTTCTCACACTGTCTCTTTTCCACTTTTTTTTCCTCCTAGGTACGAGGAGGAAGTTTCTCTGAGAGCCACAGCTGAGAATGAGTTTGTGGCTCTGAAGAAGGCAAGTAGCAGGGGTGTGGGAGGCAGGGCAACGTGGATACCTGAGGGACATACTGAGCTTGTGGCGACTCCAAGGCTTAACCTCTGCAGGAGGTGTGACGTTTTCACAACAAGACAGGAAAATTCGCAGTGAGGTGGCCCAGTGACTGTCATACCCAGGCTTATAACAAAGGGCTGGTACCAAGTGGAGGCTTATAGTTGCACTGCCGTGGAGCCATGTATCACTTTGCATTGTCCATTGCTTCCTGCCCTGATGAAAGGTGGTGGCTATATTGACCTTGGGATGCCTTTCTCTGCTTCTGAGTGTATGGCTGGGGTGCCAGTCACCACAGGGCTTCATTCTGTCCATTGTAAAATGGTGTGTTCTACATCCCATTCTACAGTCTGACTGGGATGTTAGGACTGAGTCAGTGTCTATAGGATGATAGGGTCACTAGGAGTGGCCAGGTGGCCTCTTGATGCCCTACTGGTTTAGGTCAGGGTCAGTTGGCTGCTTTGGGAGCCACCGGGAAGCTTTTTAGACTAGAACAGGATCAAAGAGTGAGAAGAGAGAAGATGTCTTGGGGACTGAGAGGGAGCAAGTCCTCAGTCCCGAAGAGCTGCCAAGTGCATTCTGGGAAGTGGGAACAGAGATGGCTTGCACACAGGGATCTCTCTCCCCTGTGCTGCACGGTGTGGATGAAGAGAGAGAGAGAGAGAGAGGAGTTCAGGAACATGATCAACCAAGTCATTTGGGCTCACATATTCCTGCTTCCCAGGATGTGGACTGTGCCTACCTGCGCAAATCAGACCTGGAGGCCAATGTGGAGGCTCTGACCCAGGAGATCGACTTCCTGAGGAGGCTGTATGAGGAGGTGAGGGCATCAGCCAGATAGAATCCATGACTGTGAAGTCCTGTGTGGACCAAGGGAAGTCTGAGAGGCTGGCACGGGTCCATGGGATTAGACTGAACTTTCAACAAGCTTTTGACTACTGTTCCTCCTTGTGCAGGAGACCCGAATCCTCCACGCCCACATCTCAGACACCTCTGTCATCGTCAAGATGGACAACAGCAGGGACCTGAACATGGACTGCATCGTGGCTGAGATCAAGGCTCAGTATGATGACATTGCTACCCGCAGCCGGGCAGAGGCCGAGTCCTGGTACCGCACCAAGGTGAGAGGTCACAACACCTGTCCTTAGATGACACAGCAGGAAGGGATCCAGGGTCTATCAGCAAAGGCTTCTTGTACTCCAAGAATCACAGGAAGATTGCAGTCAGCTCTCAGGGGAGGAGGCAGGCCTGGCTGAGCACTGTGCTGCCCTGCATCTTGCACACTCAGTGGTAGTGTGCTCACTCACTGGGTCCATGTTGCATCCTGTGGCTCACGGGCAACTCTGCTTCTCCCATCCCCAGTGTGAGGAGATAAAGGCCACAGTGATCCGGCACGGGGAGACCCTGCGCCGCACCAGAGAGGAGATCAATGAGCTGAACCGCATCATCCAGAGGCTGACAGCTGAGATTGAGAACGCCAAGTGCCAGGTATGCAGGGGTCAGCTGTGCTGGGACCAGGGAGGCCGGGTGCCTGATCAGTGCCATAGGCCCAGCATGTGCCCTGCCTGGATCTTACCATTTAGTATACTTCCTATCTATATGGGCAGAATCCTGGCCATGGTCCCTCTGATTGAACCATGTCTAAAAAGAAAAAGTTCTTATTTGAGGATAGAGATGTTTTCCAGCTGGTATCAGACTAGATACATCCAGGTAATATAGAGGGACCCAGGGACCATAGACCATCTCATTCTTTTCTGTGTCCCCAGAACACCAAGCTGGAGGCTGCAGTGACCCAGTCTGAGCAGCAGGGAGAGGCCGCCCTCACTGATGCCCGCTGCAAGCTGGCTGAGCTGGAGGCTGCCCTACAGAAGGCCAAGCAGGACATGGCCTGCCTGCTCAAGGAGTACCAGGAGGTGATGAACTCCAAGCTGGGGCTGGACATCGAGATCGCCACCTACAGGCGCCTGCTGGAGGGCGAGGAACAGAGGTGGGTCCTTTAGCTTTTCACTTTCTCAACCCTTCTTGGGTCCTCAGCATTGAGAGCCCGAAACATTGGGTAGCCGTCAATCTTCGCTTCCTCATCTCACCATCCTGCACGTGCATAGGAGATCTGTGTAAGTCCTTTAACCTTCATCTAACTCCATCTCACTTCCTCATGCTTGCCTGTCTCTGAGGCTGCCAACAGGAAAGTACTGGGTGTGCTCCCCTGAGGCTGAGCTGTAGTCCATTCCTAGGGTTTGTTTCTTCTTTGCCCATCGTGGTCCATCTGTGTTCCCAGGACTCCTTCTTTCCTAACTTGGCCCTGGCTAGCTCCACTCTAACCCTGGAATTTCAGATTTATCTCATAACTGCAGCTGTGGTAGCAGATTCCACCAACACCTGCTTAGCTATTTGGCAACAAGTGCCCTGAAGTGCTCTCCCATTGCAGTTCAGTCTGCGGTATGGATAGCAGAGGAACTTTGTTAGTTTTCATGCTTTGGAGTTAGGTACTGGTGGAGGAACCTCTGGCCAGTCTGTCTTCCTGTGGTGGATGACCCCTTGCAACCCAAGCTCTTAAGGACACCACTCTAAACCAAGATCTCATTTTGCACCCTTGCTTTCTGTTTCCTGGCCAGTCATTTGGTCAAGTCTGGAGCTGCTTTTTATATATAGCCAGCTTCAAGTGTGGCATTCAATTGGAGAATCATGTGTACTGGGGACATGGGCACATAGGCTTGGTACCTAGAAGTCTGTGTGATCACATAGAGACCCGCCCCCCACCAACACAGTGAAGTTGCTTGGGATGTCCAGGCACATAGGGTGATGGTACCCTGGGGATCTGGAAGTTGGAGAGAGACATGGACAGAACACTGGGAGAGGAACCACAGCTCCTCCACCTTGCTGTGGGAGGGAAGCAGTTACCTAGGAGACCAGATCTGAGGCTGAATTTAATAGCACCTTGACCATTGTGAGTTCAGAACAATTCTGCTTGGTTCCCTTCTGGGAGATGATATCAAATGGAAAAGATACAGGCCAGGTGAAGCTGGAGTTTTAGCCTTTTGCTGTCATTGGCCATTTCATCTCTGGGTGCCTAATGAGATAACTGACTGCTGTGGGTGATTTGAAGCTGTCTCCAAATTGTTAATATCTCATTTCTTTACTGGGGAGTCATTTGTGAAGACAAGCATTGTCTTCAGATACTGGGGCAAAAATTCTGTTTCCTCTTGGCCCATATTGTCATGATGACAATCAGATAGGATTTAGAAGGTCCGGTCTGTTCCCCTGGAATGCACTCACAACTCAGAACCAACAGGGCAACAGCAAGTGCTTCACCATGTGTATCTAGGTCTCTGTCCCCTATTCTGAGAGAAGACCTAGACCCCACTGCGGAGGCTAAAACTCAGGGTGCGCAGAGTAAGCCTGGTGACAAGGACATGCCTTGCCTTCAGAACTCACATAGTGCTCCCCCCTCACCCCCCCGCACATGGTCACCTGTTCCAAGCTATCCCGTCTACTAACGTCTCCCTTTCCTCTCCCACAGGTTGTGTGAGGGCGTTGGCTCGGTGAATGTGTGTAAGTAATTCCGCCTTCCCCTTTTCCTGCGGGGTGTTGTGAGCCTTGGGGACGGGAGTACATGTGCTTGCTGCCCAGCCACCTGGCAGTGGCAGTGCCTGACGCGGTCTCCCCTGTTCTCCCTGCTTTCAGGCGTGAGCAGCTCCCGAGGTGGCGTCGTCTGTGGAGATCTCTGCGTCTCCGGTACTGCCCCTGCTGTCAACACCAGAGTGTGCAGCGCCCCCTGCAGCGGCAACGTGGTGGTGGGCACTCCTAATGCCTGTGGCCCCTGCGCTGGGGCGGGCTCCTGCAGTGGAGGCTGTAAGAAGTGCTAGGAAGCCTAAATGCTGTCACCCCCACCCTGCCCAAGTGACTGCACAGAGGGACAGTGGCCTCAGCACCTCCATCCCATTCTGTAGCCTTCCCTAGCAACTTGGTTTGGGGATTCTTGCTTTTATTTCCCCATCTGTCCCCTCCCTGCCCCCCACCACTGGTCTTAAGATCTTGGAGGCTTCTCTGCCCCAGGATCCCTCTTTGTCCGCCCGGTCCCTAGCATGCTTTTGCTTGGACATGGAGACAGGGACCAGCATGGTTGCTGGTTTTCCTGCTACTCAGTAGAGACCACGTGATCCTTTAGGGTCTGCCAGGCAACAGCTCTCCCCAGCCTAGGGACTCAGCTGCCTGCACTTTGGCCTTTGTCTCACTCTGAGTTCCCAATAAACTAATTGCAGCGCATCAAACCTGTGCCTCAGACTCTCCAATCTCTGCCTATTGGACAGGGGCCTCTGCCGAGGTCTCAGGACCCCCAGCTACCTGGGTATTTTCAGTAGATGAAGGCAACAGTAGACACCTTCTGTCTGGTTTGGAGAAATCAGGGTTCGGGGACAACAAAGTCAGACTCAAGACAGTCTTGTGGAGGGGTCGATATTCTAACTGAGGTGTTCTGTCTCAGCACCGTGCATTATGGGCTGGGTGACTTTGTCCCTGAGGTCTCCCGGGACATTTTATTTTGTAGTATCCGTGGCCTCTGTTACTAGACACAGGCAGTATTTCTCTTCCCCTTGTTGTGATAAGCAAAGATAGCTTTAGACAAGGTGAAATGTCACTGAGGGCTTCTCAGCCTCAGCCACTTGGCTCCCCTTCCTTGAAGGGCAACTTGAAGGTCAATTCTAGGGTTCAGTGCTTGAGGAAGGGACTGGGAGAATGGCAGAAAGGCAGTGAGTGGCAGAGAAGAGGAATTCCTGGTAGGTCAGGGGCAGAAGAGCTGGCATTCAGAGTGGTGACTGTCATCTGCTGAGTGGAAGCAAGTTGCTTCCATCCTGAGTGTCCATTCCTCTGCTGCAGATTGAGGAGGGTCACACCATTCCTAGGGTCACACACCTCCTCTGAGGAGGGGGGAAAGGGCTTTATTCCTGGAGGCTCTATCAGAACAACAGGCCAGGTCTGGCTATTTCCAGTTCCAACACAGCAGGCAGGTCTCCTGTCCTCACCAGACTTGGGCTCTTCATCTGTAAAATAGGACGATGGTGCCTACATTGTTGTGGGGAAGTATGCCAGGCAATGGTGGCACACAACAAATCTCTCCAGAGAGGTGTCACTTTAAAAACTTAAACATTTTTCCCAGTACCGAGGACCAAACCTATGTCTTTGCACATCCTAGACAAGTGCTCTCCCACTGAGTATGATCCTAGCCAGGGAGGCTTCAAACACAAATTCTTCATACTCCTGCTTCCTCTCTCCTCTCTGGGCTTGCAGGGAAGCTCTTGCTCTTTGCCTGGCATCTTTCTGGGTACTGTGATGATGAGAGTTCCTCAGGGCCTCTCTGGCAAGGCTGGTCCTGGTGCTGACTGCCAGTTGTGAGCTTAGACAAGGGTTGTCAGCTATAGAGTATTTCAGCTAGCTAGGCTTGAATGGGAGGGAAATAATTGGGCAGAGAAAATTACCGTAAATAATTATTAACTACAGTGGAGGGCTGGGGAGAATGAGAGATGGCTAGCAAACAGTGAACTACAGGAGCTGTGGTGATAGACATGGCTGGGGCCTGCTTGGTAGTGTGGTTAATCTTGATTTTCAGTTCATTGGATGGAGAGTGACCTAGGATATTTGCAAAGCACACCTCTGGTTGTATCGGTGAAGGGTTCCCAGAGAAAACTAACTAAAGGGGAGCAGACCCACTCTGAACATGGGGGGGGGAGTTCTTTCTTCCTTCCTTCCTTTCTTTTTTTCTGTCTTTTTCTCTCTCTCAATTTCTTCTCTCCTTCCTCCTCTCCCTCCTTCTCTCTCTGTCTCTCTCCCTCTCTCTCCCTCTCTCTCTTTTTTTTGAAAGAGTCTCTCACACTGTGATCCAGGCTAGTCTCAAACTCATGATAATCCTCCTGCCTCAGCTTCCTGAGTGCTGGAATTACAAGCATGTGGCACCACACCCAGCCCAAGACAACCATCTTTAATTCTCTCTTTCCCTGAGTGACTATGGGGCCTACACATCTTTGGTGATTCTCATGGCGATGCCCTGCCTCTCCTTGAGGTCTCAATTTCAGCATTGCATCTAACCCTGGCGAGTGATCCTCCTGCCCAGTTCCCATCTCCCAGCACTAAAGCCCAGGGCTCTCTGGAGCCCTTTGACTGTTTCCTCCAAACACAAAAGCTCCTCCAGGAAGGAGGAGGGAGGCTCACAATACTCAGGAAGACAGTGAAGACCCAGGCTCAGGAAGCTTCCCAGCCCAAGGTTGTAAAAGTAGAACTGACAGGGAGCACACCTGGAGCTCCAGGTGTCAGGTGTGTGTGTGTGTGTGTGAATGTGTGTGTGAGTGTGTGTGTCTAAGTGTGTGTCTGTGTAAGTGTGTGTACACAAGTGTGTGTGAATGTGTGTGTGAGTGTGTGTCTGAGTGTGTGTCTGTGTAAGTGTGTGTGTACACAGTGTGTGTGTGAGTGTGGGAGTGTGTGTACACAAGTGTGTGTGTGAGTCTAAGTGTGTGTCTGTGTAAGTGTGTGTGTACACAAGTGTGTGTGTGAGTGTGTCTAAGTGTGTATCTGTGTAAGTGTGTGTACACAAGTGTGTGTGTGAGTGTGTCTAAGTGTGTGTGTGTCTAAGTGTGTGTCTGTGTAAGTGTGTGTGTACAGTGTGTGTGAGTGTGTGTGTGAGTGTGTGTCTAAGTGTGTGTCTGTGTAAGTGTGTGTGTACACAAGTGTGTGTGTGAGTGTGTGTATGCGTGTGTGTGAGTCACTGTCCATGCTGGGGGGTTTCATGATGCAGCTGTCTTTGAGTCACTCACATTCCTGTACATGTGGAACATGGCAGACTCACTGGTTCTTCAAAAAGACTTAGAGACATTACTTTTTTGTTTTGTTTTTCATCAGTGTCCCATTTGGGTAAAAAATATGCAGACATTTGTTCATGTCTCCCCAGGAAAAGTCACATAGCAGGTGACTTTGGTGTCAGAGGCAGGCCTAGAGACTCATCACTGCAGCTGAGACTATAGTGTCAGCCTTGGATAGGACAGGAATTAGGGAACTCCTTGGGTTCTCCTATGTGACACTATGATGAGCCTCCTGAGGTGGCCTGTCCTTAAGGCCCCCCACTGAAGTCTTTGGGAAGAAGTACCAATGACCCAGAGCAGCCTCCAGGAAGGGAAGAACTGCAAGGGCCCCACAGAGCTTCTGCCCACCCCCTTTAGGTGTTGAGGACATCTGAGGCCCCCATAGGGGAGCAAGTAAAGGGTACTGGGAGACCTGAAAGACACTGAGTGGCAGGTCAGAGCCAGAGTGGGGGGCTGGTATACTCCTTTAGATAGCCTGAGATCACTCGGAGAGCAGAGGGAGCCACTGAAGATGGGGCTCGCATTCTGTGGCGTTCCCTACTGCTGTGTGGTATGAACAAGTATCACCCTGTTCTGAGTTGTAGAAAACAGTGGCTTTTGAACTGAGCCTTGTGTTGGGTGATTCCACTTTACAAAACAGAAATTGGCTCCATTTGAGTGCAAATAACTAGGCAGACTCATTATCCTTATCCTTGCATCTCGTGTGTGTGTGTGTGTGTGTGTGTGTGTGTAGATACCATCAACTATCTCTGAATCTCATGTGTGCATGTGAAGACACTGTCAACTGTCTCTGCATTGTGTGTGTGTGTGTGTGTGTGTGTGGAGGGGGTGAAGACACTATCAACTGTCTTGTATCTGCCATGAGGTACATAATGATAACTCATTTATGTAAACTAAAAAGTGTCACCCACCCACGAACTTATCAAAGTAGATGGAAATACATGGACACGAGCAGATTAAAACTATATCAGAAAAAATAGGCTGTGAACACTAAGAGCAATGAAGGCTATTGTGTCCACACAGACCTGGCCTTGGACCTCACCTGACTGGACTTGGTGGGTAGGTCTGGCTCTACGCCTCCAACAGCTCTCTCTCCAGCTAGCTTTCTTTCCTAACAGTCCATGGCCACCTGCATATGTGTTAGCTCTCTGTGCTCACTAAGACCTCTATGAACTCTGTAGCCTCTTGAACTCTCAGGAAGCCACTTTGTCACATATATATTACTGTGTAAATGTGCTGTGTTATCTGAGGAGTGACATTAGTAACTTACCAGAATGAAAGGAACCTGAAGCTGGGGGGTTGGTGGTACATACATATACTCCAAGCACTTAGAAAGTTGGGGCAGGAGGGTCAGGAGTTAAAGGCCAACTTTGGCTACATAGTGAGTTGGAGACCCATCTATATGACATGAGACCCTGTCTCAAAAAAAAACAAAACAAAAGAAACAAACAAACAAACAAAAAGCCCAGCCAACTAACCAACCAGTTGTGATTGCCAATGACCACAATATTTAGGGAGATTAGAATTACTAGATAAATTGCAGTCAAGAATACTGATACAGCGGGAGGGAGGGAGAGGGAATTGGGATCGACATGTAAAATAATAAATTAAATTTAAAAAATGCTTTGACTCCAAAATTTAAGTTCAAGGACAAGTTACTGGGGAAAAGGATTTCTATTTTTATTTCCACAGAAAATGAAAAGATGTGGATTCCTTCCAGACTAATGTGGTTTGATCAAGCCAGACCGCCTGAAACAGAGTACCAGGTGATTCTACATTTAAAACAGCTGGACCAAGCAGCCTTACAGACTATAGCCAGGATTTCTGCATCTTCTTAGAATCCCCCATGACAGCACCCCTTACCAGCAGGAAGTAGTTTGGAAAGAACGATGCCCAAATTCCCAAATATTGTCTATAAATGTTTGTTTTCATTTAAATGGACTTGGTTATATAAAATAAATATATAAAAAAGAATACTGATACAGCTAATTAATTTATTGTTATCCACTAATTCTAAGGTTGTTGAAAGACATAAACATTCGTTATATGGTTTTGTGGCAGTAGGAAGAGAAGAAGGAACACTAGAAAACTGTTTGGAAGGAAGACAAGACAATTCTGGTGGCTGAATCAGAGGGCAGGCTG